GACAATACTACGTACATACTGAGTGAAGCAATTTTTTCTTTAATATACCATATTTAAACAAAAACAAAGAAAAATAAATAGACTGTGACTACTTCACAAAAACAATTTACAAAAAGTGCATATCTATTTATTTTGATAAAAGAACACTTGCTTTGATTAACTGTGTACATCTATCTAGTGGCAATATGATGGCATTCATCGGTCACACAGAGATCATAAATTCAAATAGATTTAATCAACTGGGAACATATTCTATGTTCCTCACATGTACACATTTTCTCATGATTTCCGTATAGTATGCCATTGTGGGAAAATATCTCTGTGTGCTAACAACAACTTATATACAGCATGTTACTCTTTGTAATTATCTTTCTATATCCTATAAAACAGTGAGATCAAAATATCCATGTGTGGATTATGAATGAACAAATGTATATGAACAGTATGTGCATCTCTGGAACCACAAAGCATGTAGTCTCTCACTTGATGTTAAATGACTCTTTGAGACTTGCTTCTGCTTGCTTAGGTGTAATATTTTTCCAAGGTGCAGGAATATCAGCACATACTGCCTTGTATTCTTTGGCAAACTGCTTGTTGAATGTTGCCATTACATATTTCCAGTAGTCTGATGCCTGGAGGCTTGCATCTGGTTGAATTTTCCAGTCGGAGAAAATTTCTTTGTAACGCTTGTAAGGGTGACATCTGAAGTCTGTAGCTTCACATTGAAATGACACGTCAGTGACCACAAGAGAAGAGCATATATCAGGGACAAGTTTTTGCGAGAAAGAAGATCTGTATCCACCCAGACCCTGTGGCCGATGTAGTGAAGCCCAGTGTTCTTTATGTTCTTTTCCTCCTGCCTCACAAGGCACTTTGCAGAACGGACACTGTTTACCACATCCAATCAGTTTTGTGAAAAGCTCGTTCTGAGGCTTCACATGAAGAGCTTTTAGTTTTGTTTTGATGTTTGTTTCTTTAAACTTCTCCTCTAAGATTTTTTTCCATGTCCTTCACACACTCAGTGAGCCAGTGAGCAAACTGTTCGTGGTCGGCATTGTTCAGGATCATGAAAGCACCAAGAGCATCCTGGGAAATGACCAGTTTATCACCAAGTTCCTGACACACATTTTTAACAAATGTCTTCAAGTTGCCACTCTTCTCTGTTTTAGCTTTGTTGATAGCATTATTTATGCTCCTGATACTTGACTGGAGATGTTCATCCTCAAACTCAAATGTTGTAAACTGGTTTGAGAAGCGTTTCACTATTTGATCAAGTATCCATTTCTTCACATAATCCTCATATGAGCAAATATATTTCAGATATTTGTCAAAGTTATTCTCTGAGAGCAGATCCAGTAAAATAGAATACTGGAGGAACATTCGTATGCTAAACTGCTCGCTTGTCTGCATTTCACCAGTGATATCAGGACCCAAGGAACGGTTGACAAAGGCTTCAACTGCAGGCCTCAAACAGCGCTCTGTGAATTCTTCTGCCTTCTTCTGGCACTGGTCTCGTTTATGGAACACATCTTTAAAATCAGCACAAAACTTTTCTTTGTTTTTATTCAGACATCTGTAGGGATCATTCTCATGTAGGAAATCTTCTTGCATTTTCTGAAACAGTCTGGCTGCAACTCCACAGATGTGCTGTTTCAGAGAAACTTCAAACACAATCTCTATCTTAACATCCTGATTGTTTTGCAGTCTCTCGTCAATCATGTGTAGGATCTCCTGGATGTAAGTGTCATGGTAATTGTTTTTCTTTTCCATTTTGTCAATCACAAACTGTGTGCAAGCATCTATGATGCTGTCAGCTATTTTTTGTAAAGCCATTACATGATCTTCAATGTTGAAGAACTTGCTGAGTCTGTGTATAAGATGCTTGCGAAAACCTTCCACTGTACATTTGAAAGGCACCTGTTCCCAATCTTGCAACCTTTTCTTATTTAATAATTCACGCGCATAACTTCCCTTACGTAACAGATTGTCATTCAGGTAGTGGTACACATTTGTGATGACATTTGTCGCTTTTGTTTCGAAAAAGATAGTTCCTTTACCATTTTAGTCCACATCTTATTGAATTCTTTGTCTAACTCTTTGTCTGACATCTTTACTTTTTTCCCGACATTCCTCAATCAATCCACGCACTCTTTCTTCCAACTGTTTTGTGTGGTTCTTTTTGATTCTATCAAGTTCTGTCATTCCCTGTCTGATGTCAGCAGCTACTGTCAGCTGATTAAGTACAGAACTCTCAATTTCTCGTCGAAGGCTCTTTGCACTGTTTGCAAAGTCCTCTCTGTATCCTTCAACTAGATAGACATGACCCTCTGTTTGCTCGAAGTACTGTTCCAGTTTTTCAAGAAGCTTCATCTCCCATTTAGAAAGCACTGCGCAAGCTTCACTTTTCAAAAGAACAAGAAATTCTGCCATGTCAGATATCTCAGATTTCACAGCAACTGTGCCAAAGTTGGAAATTCTTGTTTCAGCATTTGTCACCCACGTGTACATTTCTTTTTTGAATTCCCATTCCCATTTGTTGAATTCTGTGCACAGTCTCATGTATGCATCAGCCACTAGACTGTTTCTGAAACTGAATATGAAGTTTTCATGCTTTACTGCATTCCACAGGCTTTTCATCCACTCTGTAAAATCCAAGATATTATTAGCAGATGACTCACAACTTCCCAAAGTTTGGATGATGGTTTTCTTGAGCTCATAAACAGCCTCACTGTACCCTGCATTGACTGGTGCCATTGGTGGGTTTCCATTCCAGAGACCAGGGATGTACCAGTTCCCAGTGTCTGGACTGTACTCCATCACATCAGTGAAACTTTTGTTCTCCTCTTTCTTTTCCATCTTGGCTGCTGCCTGGGTCATCTCATTTAACTGTTCCAAGAGCAGTTTCCTGTCTCTCTTAAGTTCTTCTCATGGGCTGAAACATCTGACACATTCTGGTGAACAAACTGACATTTGGGCTTTTTGCCCACTTCTTTCATCCTGAGAAAAGCATGCACGACTATTTGTAGGATGTCCTTCATTTCTGTTGAATTCTCCATTGCAATATTGATAATGGTGATGTCACTCAACCCTACAACAAGTGTTGCTAGCTCATTGTCATATTCGTGGCTATTGTCCAGTTGTGCAAGCTCTGGTGACTTTAATCCCTCAGTGTCAATGATCACCATGAAGTCACAATTGAGAACTTTTTTGAGATCTTCATTGATTCTGATGAGCAACATAAAAGCACCTCGAGTGCATCGACCACTGCTGACTGCAAACTGCACTCCAAACATGGTGTTGAGGAGAGTAGACTTTCCTGTGCTCTGGACTCCAAGAACTGTGACTACCAGTATCTTGTTCTTAGGACACACCAAGTCATTGAGCTGAGAGAGAACGTCACTCACCCATCTGAGAGGTATGTTGGATGCATCTCCATCTACAAGCTCAAGGGGAAATCCATCAAGCAACAATTCTGCACATAGTTTGGGCAGATGCTGTAACTGTTGACGTGATGGGTCTGTTTCTGGAAGGGAAAGTGAAGCTTCATAGATCTGACCCATTTCACGGAAGAAGTGTTCAGTCCCTAGTGAGCTGTTGGAAAGTTGTCTGTCAATGTCTTTGATCTCCTCTTTGTTTTCTTTGTATTTCTTTTTGTACTGCTCCCTGAGGCCAGACAGTTTTTCTCGAGACAGGTTATCGAGGTTCATTCGCATCCATTTCAGGAAATAAAACCTCTCAATCCCTGGGCTTGATATTGCGTTGATGAAACATGACATTGCATTTGACATGTCGTAAGAGTTCTGCTTTTCCCAAAGTTTTGTTTTCTGTACCTGAAGATCACTTTTGTAATCTTCTATGTTTCCAGACTTAATTTTTCGGAGCCGACACTCTTCCTTCTCTAAGCATGTAAGGTCTTTCCAAATTTGGCCTTGCAAGGGTAGCTGAGCTTCTTTGTATGAAACAATGTCTTGAATTTCTGCAGTGATGGCATCTGCATTTTTCTTGGCAGTCTGGCACTCTGAACATTCTTCATCAACCAAGATTCCCAGTTCATGGGCAATGTCAGCCATATTTTCAATTCCCATCTTCAACTTTGAGTTCTCAACTACATCCCTTATTGTGTTCCGTAATTGTTTGACAAAATCTGCATCATTCATGTGCTTAGCCTTCAAAAGTATGTTGCTTTTTTTCAAGCCCAACTTAGTTGCTACTTGTTTCAAAGCATTAACACTAAAGCTCTGGCTTTGATGGTTACCCACCAAAATATCTGTGCCTTGCGGTGTTGGCTGGTAAGCAGTTTACAGTCTAAATTGTCAAAGAACAAAAAAACTGCTTCGGATGTCTGACACAAAAAAGAAAATTGTGTTTCAAATGAGGCAATGTCCCCACGGAGGTTTGCTACAGCTACTGGCTCACTGAAAACATCCATGTTTTTGTTCCCACAAGGAAGGTACCAGGTAATTTCAGCCAATCCATTGGATATTCTTCTTTGGCTGTCACCACACTCCATATCATGGTGAACAAAGGTATCATGGTACTGCTGAGAATTGCTCAGAAGCTTATTGAGGATCTCTGACTTGGACAAGGAGCATTCACCCAATCTCACAAAAGATATCATTGGAAATTCAGACACAACAATTCTGTTTTCAATAAAGCCCTTGGATTCTGAAAGTGACTGAGGTCTGTGCTTTTTAACAATGTCTCTCAAAGCCCAAAGCATGAGTGTGCACTGCTTTGAGTCACAATTGGGAAGCAGCAGAGGCACAGCAAACTGACACATAGACATCTTGAGTGCCATTTCCTGCTGTACAAAACCATCAGAACACAGAAAGAGAGCAGTGATTATGTCAAGGGGGTTCAGCATGTCACCTGAATGTGGATTGTCAAACAGATCATCAAAATTTATGTCTGTATTTCCTGATGCGGCATCACAGTTTGACTCACATACAGATGTACATTTCACATTTCTAGCTGTAACATTAATCATCATCAGTGTCTTTAGAAAATACCACGGAAGATCTGAATAACACTTTGCCTGTTTGTCAGTGATGGTCTTCTCATCAATCTGAAGTATTTTGCTCAGGGATAGCTTCTTTGTGTAGTGTCGCTCCAATCCCAGATCCTCCAGTAAGCTCTCCAGGCGTGTCTCTGTGGACATGAAAGCTATGATTATGAAACTATTTCAGTACTGTAAACATGCAACAAAAGCTTTGGTAACATATACTGAGTTTATCAGGTACAGCTAGCCAAAACTAATGCAGTCTAATACAAAAGTGCTGCACTAAATTGTATTTTGTTGTACTGTGGAATTAAGTGTTGCAAGCTCTTTTACAACAAAAGCAGCTAGCACTAGCTAAAGTTTGATGTCAGATATTTACGTACGATGTCATTCGGAATTTATTTGCATAAAGCTTAGTGGTTGTTAAAGATCACTTTAAACCATATGACAGGCATATAGGGAGATATTTAGCCACCTCAATCACAAGCTCACTAGAGGGACATCATTTATCATATATTTGAAGTAGGAAATAATAATAATAATAATAATAATAATAATAATAATAATTAAAGCTGCAAGCAGCGTTGAGCGGGACCTCGCACTCCACGCAACTCGGGGCGTGCTGCGGCCGCGTCATGTGCCATCGTTACACGTGCGGACCAAAACATGAAATTTCACGTAAATCAGCTCAAAATCGCCACGCAGCACTTACTTCCTGTTGCCAGTAGGTGGCACTATCACTATGTCTTAATATTGTCATGTAGACAAGTTCAGGGCGGGACTGTTATAACACACGTGAGGTTTCATTGAGATTGGACCACGTATGCTGAAGTTATGAGGACGTGTTCAGGGCGAGACTGTTACAGAATATATGACGTTTATTGGAGACTGAATATTGTCATGTAGACAAGTTCAGGGCGGGACTGTTATCAAGCATTTGAAGTGTGGAGCCGATTGGACAATGTTCACTCAAGTTATAGCGAATTTGTGTTTTGTGGTGGTCCATCAAAATTTCCCGCCACCCCACAGACACGCCCCCTCACCACAGTCAACACATATCATCAACAATGTGTTTTGCATTTTATAAGTAAATTTCAGCTGGATCTGATCATCCTGCGAGGAGTAGAACATGAAAGTATAAAACGTGATACTTCCTGTTACCAGTATGTGGCGCTATCACTCTGTCTGAATATTGTCATGTAGACGTGTTCAGGGTGGGACTGTTATCAAACACGTGAAGTTTCATTGAGATTGGATCATGTACACTGAAGTTATGAGGACGTGTTCAGGGTGGGACTGTACACTGAAGATATGAGTACTATCTGTTTGATGGCCAATCGGTGGAATTCGACACGTCGTCACGGGCACACGGTTAAAAATACAGTCACAAATAGCACAACTTTTGATAACCAATGTGTGTAGATTGAAGTGATCGAATTTGAAGTCAATCTGATAAAATCTGTAGGAGGAGTTAGTTAAAACAGAAGCCCTTAAATGCTGGAAATAGCATCACAGTTTGACATTCGATTCAACCTGGCCAACTTTGAGGGAACGCCATGGACACGCCCTTTAACGTACATGCACAAATAGCACAACTTTTAATCAACACCATTTTTTGACTGTACTGACTAATTTTGAAGCAGATCTAATAAATTCTCTAGGAGGAGTTTGTTCAAATACAATGCAAAAAAACACTGAAAATCACTGCAAAATGCCGGAAATGGCATCAGTTTGACATTCGATTCAACCTGGCCAACTTTGAAGGCACAATTCTCTAGGAGGAGTTCGTTCAAATACAACGCGAACAAATCACCGAAAATGCGCACAGAATTCATTATGGCCAACTTTGAGGGCACGCCATGGACACGCCGTTCAACATACATGCACAAATAGCACAACTTTTGATCAGCACCATTTTTTGACTGTACTGACCAATTTTGAAGTAGATCCGATAAATTCCCTAGGAGGAGTTCGTTCAAATACAAGGTGAAAAATTCACCGAAAATGCGCACGGAAGTCACTATGGCCAACTTTGAGGGCACGCCACGGACACGCCCTTCAATGCAAAAAGTTCGCCGAAAGTGAAACTTCAAATCAAAATGGCCGACTTCCTGTGGGGTTTCGGCTTTTTGTACGTCCCGGCATGTTACACATGCCTATCGAGTTTTGTACATATGGGTGAAACGTAGCGCCGGGGCTGCTATTTTTTTATCCTGTAGGGGGGCGCTACACACACGACAAACACAATTTTTGGTATGTGAGCTTCAGGCACTACTCTACACGTGCCCTGTGAATTTCATATTCATAACTATTACGGTCTCCGCACAGTGATTTATCATGCAAAAAGAGCGCCACCTAGTGGCGTATTTTTTTGCCCTTTTTACGTGAGCCTCAGGGAGCCATGGGGAAGCATGGTACCAAGTTTCATCTTAATCACACGTGCCGTTGCAGAGATATAAACTTCTTCATTTTAAAGAGCGCCACCTAGTGGTGATGGTCTGAAATTGTGCATGGTGCCTAAGGAGGACATGAGGAACTATGGACCCAAGTTTGATGTCAATCGGACATACCAATGTTGAGAAATGATCCTCTTCCTTTTTTGACGAAAAATCTACAGGAAGTAGAATTTCAAAAATGTTCAAATTAGTCTTTTTGCCAGGGCAGTCCCCAGGTGCTAGGTGAAAAATTTCGTGCGAATCGGACAAAGCGTGTAGGAGGAAAGGTACTTTAAGGACATTTAGCGCTCTAACGAAAAAAAATTATAAGCGGAAGTGGGTGGGGCCTATATGGAGAGATTCAGCTCCATTCACCGAACGCGTGGATGTTTTTTGAATGTGCGACACAATATGAAAAACTTATTAAGTAACCAAAAAGTGAAAATACTTTCCTAAATAGTAGCGCCACCCAGTGGCCGACCCAAAGCGACGCATAGAATATCAAATTTTTCACCAGGCCTGACAACTTTGCCAAATAAAAGTTTTCGTATATGTTCAGGGGGCAAAAACGCAGTCGAAGTGGCCTAAAAATAATAGGTAAGAAATCGAGCAAAAACAATAGGGACTTCCAGCGGTCGCTGGCTCGGTCCCTAATAATTATCATAATAACTTTCATTTATAGAGAACTTTCAACCCCCATCTTACAAAGTAAGATAAAAAAAAATTAAAAAACACATCTAGTCAGAAAATTATCACGTTTTCGAAGAAGATTTCAACCAGATTAAACAAGAACAATTTTGGAAATAAAAGATACTTCAAGAAACATAAAAGTCAAGAGAAAATCAGGAAAAAAGGGACATAAAGGCGATTACTGACTCAGCTGACCTGATTTCCTCAGGCATATTGTTCTAGAGCCTCAGTGCCCTGGTCTATCTCCCTTTTGTTTTCAACCGGGCCTCTGGAACAGACAAAAGACCTCTGCCCGAAGATGGAGTACGAGCTGGCGCATATGGTACTAATAGTTCAGACGTAAAGCAGGCCATGTAGAGCCTTAAAAGCAGGAGTGATGAGATCATATTTTTTGTTTCTGAGTTCTGTACAGTCTGGAGTCGATCAATAGATCTTTGGTTCCAACTGGTAAAAAGGCTGTTGCAGTAATCCAGGCATGATGAGATAAATGCATGTAAAATGGTCTCTGTGTCTAAAAGTTAAAAAGATTGGATTTTGAAATCTTTCTAGGATGATAAGTAGTTTTGGTGCTCAAAACTTAAATTACAGTCAAACCAGACACCAAGGTCGTTTGCAACAGGTTTAATATGATCTGATAGGCCTAAGGAATGAGCAAATTGCAGAATTTGTTTAGCCACTTTTGGACATTTAGTTTTAAAACCAATCGTCCAATTAAGTGTTTGAAAGTACAATTAATTTTGAAGTTGTATGTAGGGCCATAGGATACATGGAACAATACTCATGTTGGTTGCCATCTTACCATTCAGAGTAGAGAGTCAATCAATGTCATGTCTGTGTATTCATTGTAGTAATCATGACATGCTCACATGGTTGCTATTTATAATATCTATTGGTTGCCAAACTAAGAAGACTGGTCTTACCATTATAAGCCTGAAATATTTAAAAAAAAATGTCACAGGAAAGTAACAGGTCTAAAGAAAATGGCCTCTTTTGTTCAGAGTGCCTTGTTGGGGAAAGCTGAGAGAGCAGCTGCCGTGTTAGACAGTCACACAGGTTAGGGATACAAGGTCCATATGGTTGTAATTTTCTTTTGTAAGCTTTACTGAGTTGCTGTAAAATGTTATATGGCCCCTAAGTCTGTGACTTTATTTTGAAAATGCACTGCAAATAAGGCTTTTCTTTTTCTTACTTGTGTGAGCAGATGTTACAGTTGCCTTGCTTATTCTTCCGTTCCTATGCTGTGCAGAAACATGGAGGGAGTAACACGCCCCTGGCTTCAGGTTGCTGAGAGTCAGGTTGTTTGTGTCTGTTGTCAACTCTTGCACAGTTTCTCCCTCACTGCAACAAGTCACAATGTAACTCTCCACTTCACCAACAGGAGGGTCCCAACGCAGAGACAGTGACTCACTGCTGGCCTGATAGACAGCAATCTGTGCAGGAGGGCTGGGCTCTGTGGGGATAATATACAATTATATTTCACATATAATGGAAATTCAAGTTCTGTCAAGGTTTGACTACACTTAAAAGTGCAGTGTGACTACCAAGCACAAGAGGTGTGGTAAAAGATAAAGACACATACACATACACATACTGTATACATATATACTATATATACTAACCTTTATAACATAACTTGAAAGCATCAGTGTAAAAGTACAATTGTATATGAATCCAAATACCATTCAGACAACACTGTCTTTAATGTTTGTTTTAGTTTCTTTGTTGTTTTTTATTGATTTACACATTTACCTGTGAAGACAGATAGTGAGGTTGGTATGCTTCGATTGCCATTATCTGCAATCCTTGTTATACTGAAAGTGTATTCAGTCCCAGGATTCAGTCCCTCAACCTTCACAGTGCCGTAGTCCTTTGTGATAAAACTGTCTCTATGTGTGTAATCTACTTGCAGTTTATACCCAACAGAGTGATCAGTGAGTGGTAAACCAAAAGAAACAGTCTCCTGATCAGCATTGAGAACTGTTACTTCAGGTGGACGGACATCTGAAATAAGAGAAGAGAAGTGCATCTCAGTATCCACATTACAGTGTGTATTCAGTCTTTAAATTGGATCAGTTATTGACAGACACACTTACAGTCAGAATGTGCTGTTGGTGGAGTGTTCTCTCCTTTCTCACAGTTTTGCTCAGAGAAGGATTCAGGTGCATCATAGAAATCCTAGGTAATTTGTGTAATAAATCAATTGTAATCATAATCCCATTTACAATAACTGAAACATAGTATTGTATATTATATAACAGATAATATTTAGCTTGTAATTTTCTAATTATTAACTGTAAGTTTAGAGTTGTAAAAAAGATTGTTACCTCCTCATCTGAGCTTTCCATTTTGGGTACACTTTCAGCCATCTCACATTTGGTTCTGATTATTCACATTGCATCTCACTGAAAGTAATAGAGAAGAACTTTGTAATACCTTCCTCCCCAACAGCTATTGATTTTACCCAACAATCACACAGTTAAAAATACAAATACTCTACAACCTACTAATTTACAATATCAAAAAATAACTAGTGCTGGGCAACGATTAAAATGTTTAATCGCAATTAATGGCACGGTTACTCACAGAAATAAATCATGAATGCCTTAATGCGATAATAACGTGTTAACTTGCCCAGCACTAAAAATAACACTACTAACAATACTGTAATCAGCCCACTATGAGAGGATTAAAGCTCATATGTGGTAGGTCTTAAAAGAGAGAAGGGGGGCCTACCTTTGTAGGAGAGATTTATACATGGTAAAGATAGTATCCAATCTTTTATCCAGGAGTTTTTGTCTTCTGTACATGCAATGTTCTGCTATAGGTAGTATTTCCGAGGATACAGCTCTGCACTTATGTCAGTACAATAACAGGTCCCTCCCTTTATTCTGTCAGGCGAAGTTACTTTCTGTTTTGTTTTCCTAGATATAGATGATCTGATTTCCACTAAAGAGAAACTTACTTGTCCCGGTATCCCCCTTTGCTGAAGGCAGGGATTGGCTGAAATAGAGGAGCCTATAGGGAGTGGATATTTGAGTGGTTATGGCTTTGTAATCAGAGTAGTTGGATTTGCATTTTTCAGTATTTTTTGCCATTTTGTTTGTTGTTTGTCATAGATATATTATGTAATAACCATTATGTATTGCCATCCCAATAATTTTGTACGTTTCATGCCCAACATGGAGCTTGCATTGGAGTTGGACTGAGGTCACTAATAAAGTACTCTACAGAGGACATTAGCTCATGAACAGACAAAACAAACATGCCTGATAGAGACTAAAATTTGACTTAAGATTAAGTTGGTAGTGTTGCAATATTAAAAAAAACTTTGTAAAAGGACAAGTACACACAGTACACACTTCTCTAAGAATACAACAATACCATGGTAAGGTAAAGGAGTTTGAGCATAGACTATTATCTTTACAAATATATGTCACAGTCTTACACATTCAAACTTTGTAGCCCAGTCAAGTAATACAAATATTCACTATATGAATTACTCAGTTACACTTCATAAGAAGCACAAACTGGGGGTACTATTGAGCACAGGTTGCAGCGTCTTGCTGTCAGCCATCGGATTTTGATTTTCCATGTTGGGTCCATGTACAATGACAATGAAGGATAAAAAAATCAACTTGTCATCCAATATGACTTAATTCCTACATCCATTGGCTTGTTTGTAAAAAATCCAGTTTGAACACAAATCAGACCAGAACTGAACAGCAACAATGTATGGCAACAATGTTGAATTCAGATTAGATCCTGCTTTAAAATTATGTTATATTTGTATATTAATAGGGACTAACACTAACACAGCAACTATATTATCATCATCATCATCATCATATATTCTGGAATATTACATTGACCCACAATAAAAACTGTTTAGTTTAACTTACACTTTATTTTACAGTACCACCTCTCCTCCTTTGTTATATATTTACATAAGCATTGTTGGAGGGGGCCTGAGATCTCAGAATATCATTGCCAATGACTGCTTCACTGCAATTGTTGTTCATAGTATAATAAACAACCTGAACTTCACTCCTTTTATAACACCAGGTGAACTCACTTTCTCTTTTGTTTCCCAGAAACAGTAAATGATTACCTAGTTATCAGTAAAACTAAATTTGTGGGCAATGTGAAGATTAGAGTGGTTTGCCCATGGTGAAATCCCTACACATACATAGTATTCATAAGTTAATTATTTGTCCTCCTAGATAAAGTGTGGCAGTGCAGAGTGCTCACTTTATTCTGTTTGTCATAAACACAGGTGAGAAAATAATTTAGATCTTAGAAAATGGATGCCCACGATTTTTTTTTCTCACTACAAGGCTTCCGTACTTTTAGGGTTAGAATAATATGTTATCAATAAATCTGAAAGCGATTATTTTCACAATTAATCATTTGGTCTTTACAGTGTTACTCCATAATGAAAACATCCCATCACAATTTCCTATAGCTCATGGTGATGTGACCACATGTCTTGTTGTGTTCAACCATCGCTTCAAAACCCAAAGATATTCAGTTCACAGTGATACAGACAGCAGTCGAAATCATCACATTGCAGCTGGAATTAGGGAATGTAATGCATTTTTGCTTTTTAAACTGTCTTTAAAACCAAGCAGTTGTTCAACCAATCAATTAACCAACTTACAGGATAGTTTCACTTCAGTCTCTCCGTAATCACTGCAGGAGGAAGTAGAGCTGAAGGTATTAATGGACTGATAGAAAATGTATCTGCAATTTCCCTGCATGATAGATGAATAATTTATGTACAATGTTACCTAGCTTAACTTTTCTCGCTTTTGACAATCTGTTGCATTCTTGGTCTCATGTGAAAATATGAAGTAAATACATATCTTTGACTGTTGGTTAATTGTTAAAGAATGAAAACAGTGATGGGAATTGTTTAATATTTATTTACATTTCATAGAACAAACAGTAAATTGAAAACAACCAGCAGAGATAATAAAAAAATAAAAAATAAATGTTAGTTGCAGCATAAATAGGATGTCCGTTGCTCCAACACAGCTACAGTGACGCCACTGGAGGTGAGAACAGAAACAAGGTATTTAGTTTGCTCTGTTTTTTCCATGTCTATTTTATAAGCTAACACTGGAGGGCGCCATTGACTGCAGTCTGCCCACTCTGAGGAAACTGGATGTGTGAAGAAAAATACCTAACTGGGTGGCAGGACAGAGACAGACACACAACATCTGGAAGAGGATCAAAACTGTACATTTCTAAGTGTAAGAATCAAACAGACAAAATATTTGTAAATATTAAGTTTCTTGTTTGTTTTTCTTTTTTTCTTTTTTGTTGAAGGAATGAATGAAACGCTTATTTTGTGACAACAAAAGACAACAGGTGCAGTTTGCAAAAAAGTGGCCACTAACTTGAGTTTTCAAATTTACTGGTGAGTAAAAATGCTTTGCACTGATCACTTTTCATGCCGTTAGAAAATGACTTCACTTTGTCTCATCGTGTTGCCCGTTATCATGTGGGCATCCTGTAGCATCATGATTTCTAACCAGGATAGTCACTGTAGCAGAAATGTATCTCCACTAGTTTCCAATGAATATTACATTTTAAAATCAGAACACCAGTTTCAGTCTGTGGTTTCATTGAAGGATCAACTACTCTTTTTGTGTTCAAGCTTTAGCTTTATATCGCGATCCGACTCTACTCCTGATGAATCTGTGTGACTTCAGAGTATTTATGGAAACATCTCAGAGGCTAAGAGCTCTGGTAAAAGCCACCTTTGTCCAGTTAACTAATGTGATGATGGTGTAAAGAACTGGCCAGTGGTTCATGGTCAGGACTTCTAAACTGAGACAGTGAAATGTTAGCTTACTTCACATGTAGCAGAGTTTACATGTAGCCACTTAATCACACGTGGGACAGACATGAGGGCTTTGACACCATAAGATGCCTCACATCCTCATAGAGTAATGAGATCACACACGTGGTCCGACTTTTTCCTTCCTCACACTGTGTTGCATTGTGGGTGTGGAGGTTGTGTTGACCTTACAGTGATGTGATGTAACAGTGGATCAGACTGGATGTACGTGGACACACACTTAGCCTCGTCTATGTTATAAAGTGACTCACTGCAGCCCTGTGGTTCTCACAGTTTGGGCTGGATTTTGGTTCATTCGTAACGTGCCCGACAACTGCAGACAGCCAAGCAAAAGGCAACACCTGATGACTCCATATCACTGAGGTTATTTGGAGATCCAGTGTTAGGTCAGTGGTGCATTGAAGCACATGGTTAACA